AGCTTTTGGAATAGAAAATACCAATCCCGAGAATTTCAACGTGAAGAATGCAATTCTCTCATTCTTTCAATGTTTTTCTTATTTTAAAATCACACTGGATTGACGGAGAATAATGTCGGAGGATTTTTTTATTCTAAAAATTGTAATTCTCTGAATGTCTAGATAATTTTCCCTGAGCCTTTCCATGCCCGAGATATCCCGAAGATAATCTGCGTCCTAATATCTTCATCATTCATAATTAATTTCCTAATCATCTCGTTGAGGAATGATTTTACGATAAGAACCCCTTACACTGTCAATTTGTTCTGACCCAAGGACCCTTCTGGTTCCGACGTTTACTTCTGCCATTGATCCCGAAAGACACAAAACGGCGCCGTGAAAATTCATAAAGCTTCAGGAACAGAAAATTCCCACGTAAGAAATGCAATTCCCCCATTTCTTCATTGTTTTTCTTATTTTAAAATAATATTAGAGGATTTTTTTCTATAAATTTCAGTTCTCTTAATATCTAGATAATTTTCCCTGAGCCTTTCCATGCCCGAGATATCCCGAAGATAATCTGCGTCCTAATATCTTCATCATTCATAATTAATTTCCTAATCATCTCGTTGAGGAATGATTTTACGATAAGAACCCCTTACAGTGTTAATTTGTTCTGATCCAAGAACCCTTCGCCCTCTGTTTCCGCCATTTAATTCTGCCATTGATCCCACAAGACATAAAACAGTGCCGTAAAAATTCATAAAGCTTCAGGAACAGAAAATTCCCACGTAAGGAATGCAATTCCCTCATTCCTTCATTGTTTTTCTTATCTTAAAATAACAACCGAGGTTTTTCTTCTATAAATTTCAGTTCTAAAGAATAACGTCAGCGGATTTGAAAATAATTTCTTTATAATCTGTTATAATTTTTCTTGAGTTCTTCATTCCCAAGAGAACCCCACGATAATCTGCACCCTAATATCTTCATCATTTATAATTAATTTCCTAAAATTTTTAACAATGATGCTTTATACACTGTTAAAGAAATTTGACTGAAGTTTCCAGAAAAAGATTTTGAATTCGATTTAAGGGGAAGAAGTCAATGGAGTTCCAAGTTTCTCTGAAAATTCAAGTAAAATCCCATTTTTTCTGCGGCTGGAAGACAGAAATTTCACAATTTACATGAATTTTCAAGTGAAAATGAATATTTGCTGCCAAATCCCCTTGAATTTTCATGGAATTTCTTTAAAATTCTTGGAATTCAAGAATTTTTGAAGCAATTCCCCGAAAATTCACAGGAATCTGTATTGCAATGAGAAATTCCTCTGACGTTTCCTGATATTTCATCAATTTTCCCTGAATAATGAATGCTGAAATTTGCAGTTCCCACGGATTTTTCCATGAAATTATAAAATTTCAATGACAAAATTCAGTGGAAATGGTAGTTCTTAGAAATTTCGACGAGTCTTACCTGAGAATTCAGTGAAAAATTTACAACAAAGTAACACCTCCACCAAAATTTCCCAGTGGATCCCCCTGCTAATCAATTCCAAAAAAACTCGTCTGAAAGCCTCAAAAATGGACTCCGCCAAATCCCCATTATGCCTCCCCCAATCCTCCTAGAATAACCCCCAAACGACACATTGATCACCTGCACATCACCATCTCCTCCACGAATCCTCCAACCTCTGGCCCTCATCACGTAATACTCCCAATCCCCAACTCTCCCCGGGGATTTCCCAGATTACTTGAAAAGTTCGTTACCACCCTCATCAAGAACCCCCCTTTCTCCGCGTCCCAAAAACTTTAACCCCATTCCCCTCCCAAAAGGGACAAACCAAAAGGAAGAAAAAAGTTCAACTTTTGATCGTGTATTAATAGCTCTTCCTCCGGCAGCGGGCAATTTCGTGTAGTTCACAAGTCTTGGATTGTAAAAAAAAATCTCAAAGAAAAACATCACGTGATAGCTTGGGAATCTAGATGTGGCTTGAGGCGATTCATATCGAAATGCTGAAAGAGTGAGAAAGTCGCCGAGTGTGTGGGTCGATACGAGCCGGGGCAATTCCACGTGAGAAAGTGAGACAGAGTCCAATATATGCTTTTCAAAGGAATTGGAAGGGGGCCGAGGGATGGGGGTGAGTGAGGATTAGTGACGTTGCGGGCGTTGGCTTCTACCATTTCCGTGTCCTTTTTTCACTCTGAACTAGTGGCCCCTTGAAACGCTTACATTTCAACGTTACTATATACAACGAGGGTGGAGTTTTCACTTGGTCGGTACATTTGCTCCTTTATGTGTACAGTGTACATACCAGACATCGCGTTCTCCACCGCTACCTGAGTGCACTTACTGGTGCAATGAGGGTTGATGCACCCGAGGAGTCAAGGAGGAAGACGAAAGGGGGAGGTTCAAGATTTGGGGATAAATCTCGCGTGTGGGGGGAATTGGGGGGCGGAACCAAAACAAAATTCCACTGGGGTGTTGGTCGCTCGCTTCCATTGGGGGTGGGTTCAAGTGGGGGTGATCCATTACGCCTCGAACCAATAACTTCTCGACCAACTTTTGTTTTTGTGTTTATTAGAAACAGGGATCGTTCATCTTCCGACTCTTCTCTGTTTTGACTGAAATTTCCGGTACACCTTTCGGAAATTTTTGTCGAATTTAATTACCACTGAAATTTTAAGGAATGTCGCCATTGAAAATTCTGAATTTTGGGGAAAAATCAAAGAGATCCGTAAATTTCAGTTCCATTTTTCCCTGAAAATTAATAGAAAACCAGAAAATTCTGGTAAATGTATTCTTGAATTTTCAGGACAGTGATACTGAATGCGATTTAGAGGGAAAATAATTTGGCACTGAATATTCACTTGATTCATTTGATTGGAAATTCAAATAAGTTAAGGAATTCTCGCCCTTATGCTGCTTAAAATTCTGGAAGTTTACTGAATTTCCAGTAAAACCTGAAATTTCATGATTTTTTTTCCCCTAAATCGCATTCAGTGTCACTGTCCTGAAAATTAGTAGTCGACTGTCCATGAAATTTCATTTTTTAAATAGTATCCAATATGAAAAGAATTTCCGACTTACATTGATCAAGATTTAAATATACCAATCAAAATTTAAAAATACTAAAATAATTGATAATCTAAATTTCCAATTAATGGTGAGTAAAATATTTAATAATATGGATTTGTACATTTTCCATTGAGTTAATAATACTAAATTTCTCATAAGGGATTAATAAGTAATTCGGTATTTGAAGACTTAAATTGATGATGACTTCGATATTCAAAATTTAAGAGTGATATTAACTAATTGACTACCTAATAATTTAACCGTAATTATAATTTATGGATATGGCTATCCGTGATAGAAAAAAAAATGCAAATTTGAACTCAGTAATTATGTTTCAATTAAAACAATGTTAAAAAAACTTATTTTGTACTAAAATTCTCTACAAAAAATTCATGACATTTTCTCCAAAACCGCTCCCCTCAGGAGATCCCTCTAAATTAAAGAGCAAATTCAACGTAAACTCATCTACCTAAACCCAAATTGTTCACAATTTCATGATCTTTTTACTCGGAAACGTGAGATTGCATCATTGGAAAGAGTCCACAGGCATTGAAATTCTCGCCGCGGAAAATTTACTGCAATTTCTTTATTCCCGCAATAAATCCCAGGAAATTAAAGTAGAAGAGTTTAGTAGCACTTGGCTTGGTGGCTTCGTTTTATTGAGGACATTTGTCACAGACACTGCATACGGCAAAAAGGGTTGTTTGCTGTGGCCGCCCTCCACTCGACTGCGTTAACGAACCAGCGGGGCTTCTTCCTGGTTAAGTGAGCAGCCAAAGTTGTCAGAAATTATGGGTGGGTTTGTGAACAATCCGGGGGCTCGTGGAGGTGTTGATGCGTGAGAAAAATTGGCTCACCGGGGTTAAACGAAGGGGGTCGATGGCGAGAAAGAAGGGTGTAAGGAGCTCACATGCACATTCAGGACACGTAGGCTGCTGTTCCAATATCGAGTCAGCACAATCGAAAATAGAAATTCTCTTCTCAAAATAATAATCGTTATATTGAATGTTGCGGGCTTAGGTGGGATATCAAGTCGAAGGGCGGCGCTGGGATGCTGCGTGGAGAGAAAACTTTGATAAAAATTATCTGGAAAATCGTGGCAAATTTATAATACACATTAAAACCTAAATGTAAATTGCGTTCTAGTGAGCGTAGTTTACGGTTTCGTTAACGTAACTTACCCTTAACAGCAGTACGATGTCTGGCGGCTTTTTTCCGTCATGAAAATCATTAGTTATATCGTTATTTTTTACTTTGCTGTCAAAATAAAAACTAAAATTACGCCCAAACAACACAATAAGTAAAGGAACGTTCCGGAATTTATTCTTGATATACTCGAGGTGATACGTTTTCACAGAACGTTTTAAATATGTTCCAGGGATTATTTCCACAAATATGTATCGAAAATTCGTAGACGACCCATCTCAAAAATGTATAATAACAGAGCTATGGGATTATTCTCCTCAAGAACGTTCCATGAATAAAATTGAATAAAAACTGACATATTTTGCCATGTGTCAGGAAAAATTCACTATTCATCTCACGCTTTTTCCCCGATATCGAGTGAAAAAGTACTGAAAATCGAGTTCGGTGTTTAATTAAACTCCGACGAACTCGCGAACATAATGAAAATAATCTAATGAAATTTTCGTTGTCTTTCTGTTTCAGATTTCAAGTTGGATTATTTATTTTCTCCTTCTTCACCTCTCTTAGTTCACCCTTTGATTTACAGTTAATTTACGTTCAAGTTTATTCAACGACTTTTCAACGAGTATAAAAAATTCAGCAGCAACAAGAAACAAGTTGAAGTGTCAAACATCCGACGAACAAAAGTAACTCAGAGAAGACCGACGAAGCCAACATAAACTCAAAAGCTCCAGCAAGGGATAAAACAGGAGGGACCTAGTCAACATTGTAAAGCTAAAGAGCACTTTGAGAAATTTTCATTGGGACAACTGAGACATCCACCAGCAAGATTACCGGCCGCGGCGGCTGCGCCAAGTATTGTGGGACTGCTCCATCACCCGGCAACATTTCATTCTCCAGCTTCCGCCAATCCTTCACCACCAATGTCAACTACCTGAAACGGAGGTAAATTTTTATCTTGAAATCTTGTCACCTTATTCATAGAAATCCCTCGACTCCTCACAATCTCAGCGTGAATTCTCTCGATAATGAGTGATTTCGAGAGAAAAACTTGTCAGATATTTTTCGTCAGCCATTTCCTTCCGCAGATCGCTCGCTTCTGAAATAATTGCGTTATTTTATACACTTCACGTGACTGATGACTGGAGTTTTGAATGTCTTAAAATGAATGAATGAAGTTTTTCAGTCTAAAAGCAACACGTTTCATAGACAAGCCATTTTCACAATGTCTTGAATGAGAAGTCACCAAATTGAAGCCATTCTCTCTGCCTCAATTCATGACACTTGAAGACTATTCTTTCACTAGTCATTTGTGCCGGCCCTATGACAAGACATCGACCTCATTAAGAAGTAGAATCATTACAATAGACATTCGTGGTGACTTATCTCTTTTCTTCCAATTAATTGAAGTTCTGAATTCGTTTGTCTTACAGTTTTTATTTGAGACACTAAAAATGACTTAAATTTGAGGCCACAAACGTCTTCAAAAAGACGCAAAAGTGTCTTAATTTCAGACACTAGCTTTCCTAATGTACAAGTTGAATCGACTTCGCTCATACCATCAATTCATCACTCACCCAATTCAATTCCCGGGAACTGCTTTACCAAATTCATTTAACCTACCCCAGAAGATCTTCATGTGCCCTCGTCATTCCCAAAAAGCGGAATCAAAATCGGTGACTTATTTCTTTTCTTTCAATTATTTGAAGTTCTGAATTCGTTTGTCCTAACGTTCTTATTTGTGCAAGTTGAATCGACTTCGCTCATACCATCAACTAATCACTCACACAATTCAATTCCCGGGAACTACTTCACCAAATTCATTAGACCTACCCCAGAAGTTCTTAATGTGCCCTCGTCATCCCCAAAAAGGGGAATCCAAACTTCCTTTGAATCGCAAAAAATTCGATTCCTCAGAAACGACTGAAATATTTTTAATGAGCACCATTCCCATCAACCTCGACTCGCTTCAATTTTTCCCGATTCATCCGCTCGAAAAGAGCGTTTTGAGTCACGTCTCAAAACTCCCGGCAATGCTGTATATCCAAGATGCCGAGAATTCTTGAACTAGTTGGCGAACTGCCACAGAAATACTTCATGCAGAACGTACGATAGAGTCATCTCGACATTCATCAACGCTGTGTAATCTTATGAGGCGTGGATTAAAGTTTTTTCTTCCCATCTGTCTCCTATATAATGAAATTACAGAGCGATGACTGACGCTTGTTGGATAACGACTGACGCTTCTGAGCTAGCCTTGTCACATAATGGGGCTTTTGTTGTGCATTAAAGCCGGACTTTAAGCGAAAATGTCGATTACGAGAGAAATGTCGGCGTCGGAACTTCAGACGTGCACATGTCTTTCCCAAAATCCATAAGACGGTTTGTTGTCTTTCCTTTCATGAAGGAAATGGCCGTCTGTTGTGTTGGAATCTAATCCAACGATGAGTGCGAAGCGCCCGTTCGCTAGCGAATTCTTGAACAATTAAAGTAAAAAACAAGTTAAGGGGAGACTACTATGAGTTTTAAAAGTCGTGGGTTATTGGAGTGAGACTTTTCATACGTTGAAGATCAATTATACAGATCTGACCACGAATAATTAATGCAAAAAAACAATTTTTTTATTGTTCGTTTGCCCGAAAACGCTTCAAATGCCAAAAACAGTCCAGGGCCTCCAATTTTTGAGCTACGAAGAATTTTTTTTTCAAAATTCTCGGAAAAATATGCGGAATAACGATTACGCGTTAGTTTTTTTTTAATTCGCCTCTTACATGGTTGAATTCGATTTTTTTGTATTTTTTTTACACAAATAGTGAATTTTTTTATATGAAAAAACCGAAATCACCTGTGTAGGAGGTGAATTCCAAAAAAACTGACTCGTAATTGTTATTCCACCCATTTTTCCGAAAATTTTGAAAAAAAAATCTTTTTTAGCTTAAAATTTGAAGGCCCTTGACTGTTTTTAGCATTTCAAGCGTTTTCGGGCAAACGAACAATAAAAAAAATTATTTTTTGCACTAATTATTCGTTTTCAGATCTATATAATCGATCTTCAACGTAACGTTAACTTTAAAACTCATAGTAGTCTCCCCTTAAGCGAAATGACTTCCTGTCCTTTGATAAGATGATAGCATTCCTCCTCCATGATAGGTGTCGGCATGTAGCCGTTCCCCACCCCTTCCGCATTTCCGCTTGACCATAAATCCACGGAATTTCCACGAGACGAATACCAGAGCAAGCATCCACCAACCCATCAAACAGCACTGGATGTCTCGATTAAGGGCCTTTGAACTCTTGATCACTTAATCCGTAATCGATAGACCATCGTCATACCGCAGAGAAAGAGTTTCTGGCTTCCAGTGGCAGTTTCTGATTAAGTGGGCAACCTCCTCCCCTCTGGTCCCAAATTGTCACAAAGAGCAGAACCTCCGCTCCTCCTCAATCATGTGACGCAATATTTGAATGTCCACAACGATTCTTATTTTGAGAACCCACACTGATAGAAGAGGTGAGACGATTTACTTTCTGTTAAGAAGTCTTGTTAATAGCAACTAAATCCTTCTACGCTGAGAAAGAAAAACTTTCGTCAAGAGATATTGTACTTGTCCCAAAGACGAGGATAATTGGTTTATGACAGGAAGATGATTTATCAAACCAAGACTTGTTGAATCGATTTATTCCATAATTTTTCAGCCCCAAATCGAAACACACTGTAAAAAAAAGAATGAAATTTCTTAGACAGTTGACACTGAATACGATTTAGGGAAAAAAATCATGAAATTTCAGGTTTCACTGGAAATTCAGTAAAATTCCAGAATTTTCTGCGGCATAAAGACGAGAATTGCGTAATTTATTTGAATTTCCAATCTAATATGAATATTCAGTGTCAAATTACATTGAATTTTCAGTGAAATCTGAAATTTCATGATTTTTCCTCCCTAAATCGCATTCAGTGTCACTTTCCTAAAAATTCAAGAATGCATTTCTCAGAATTTTTTGATTTTCTATTCATTATCAGGGAAAAATGGGACGGCAATTTACAGTTCTCTTAGATTTTTCCTTGAAATTCTGGATTTGCAATGACAAAACTTCTTGAAATTTCTGTGGAACTTGAACACGATAAAAATTTCCGGAATTTAGCACGGAAAATTCAGACAACAATTTTCAAGTGTGTTTTGATGCAAAAACCACTTGACTTGGTTCGAGAAGTCCTTTTCTTGTTGTGAATAAATCGCCACTCATCTTTCGAATGAGTACAAAAACCATTGGTGAAAATTTTCTCATTTCAGTGTGAGATATTTTCTTCTTATCAATTTTCGAGTCATTAGTTTTTTGATAAAGGTAAAGACGAGATTTTCAAAAAAGTTTTTTCTCAGTGTATCAGTGCAGGATTCTTGATTTCGGTGCCCAACGGTTCTTGATTCCGGTACCGTGATGCTGGAATCCGGAAACTTTTTTCTCTGTGACCATGTTACATCCATTTCACTCGATCCCTTGGACACTTGATGCACAATATAACCCGAGGTCCAGTCGTCAGGATCACAGCAGCCACTGTAGTTTGCCTTCCAGGTTCTCCTCGGGGGACTTGAGCTCAGAGCTTGACGATGAGCCTAGCGTTGAGCCCGGGATGGCCTCCGTGGTCCGGCAGGACTCCAGTCAGCCGTATCAAGGGGCCCCTGATCGTCCACTCCAGTGTCAACCAGCGCCCATACCACCGCCATCGCAACCACCGGTTCCTGGGGCACCACCTGGAGGTGACCTGAGTCTCAATCTGAGGCCGAGCTCTAGGACTACAAGCGCCCCCTCGTCACCGGCGAAGACGAGGGAGAGTCTGCTGCAGAGAGTTCAGAGTCTCACGGGAGCTGCACGGGATCAGGTATGTTTGGTTCTGTATTTGTAGTTAATTATCAATTGGTGGAGGAACGGGGGAATTCATGGCAGATGAGACTAAAATTGTCAGTTGTAGTAGACGATTACCGCGCGACCTTCGAAATTATTGGATATTTCTGGAAAGCTTCGTTGTTAACCAATGAAGGTGGCGAGTTTTGCAGGATTTTTTATTATTTTTCTGCAAGACGGCAAAGGATGCAAATAAAAAACCATCTGAATTGAGTATAAAATATACTTAATTCACGTTTATTTTATACTCAATTGATGGGTGGGTATTTCAATTCGAAGATGATTCTTTTGTATCAGGGCGGGTTGTAGCAAGCCCTCTTAAGTGTAATATAAGGATCAGGCTGTAAGTGTCAGAATATAAGGGTCAAAAAGTGGGGGTTAAAAAATGAGGGCCAGAATATTAGGGTCAAAACTTTAGGGTCAGAATATAAAAGTGAAAAAAGTGGGTGTCAGGCGATGAGGGTCTAAATATAAGTCATATATTATGCTTGATCACCATTTTTAGCCCTTATATGACCCTCATTGCCTGACACCTACTTTTTTTACTTTTATATTCTGACCCTAATTCTTTGATCCTAATATGCTGACCCTTTTTTATTCTAACATTCTGACCCTCATTCCTTCATCTTTACATTCAGGCCCTCAGTTTTTGACTCTAATATTCCGACCCTCATTTTTTAACCTCCACTTTATGACCCTTATATTCTCACACTTAGTGTCTGACCCTTATATTACACTTGAGAGCGCTTGGTACAACCCGGACTGATACGAAATAATCAGCCTCGAATTGAAGCACCCATCTCCCATTCGAGTATAAAATATACTTGAATCAAGTTTTTTTTCCGTGTATTGGAATGCATCTATCAATTCATCAAATATTCTTCATCTTCACAACCAAATAAAAACACATACTTATTAGCACAGTAGTTATGACAAAATTGGCAGAAATTTTCGGTGCACTTCAGAAATTTTGATCCAGTAACAGTTTTACTGAAATTCTAAAGAATATCGTCTTTAGAAATTGATAATTTGATGAAAACATCAATGGAAACTACAAATTTTCGCTCAATTATTCTACGAAAATTAATTAGTTAATAATATAATGAATGATATTGACAGTATCCATCTCCAAAATTTATGAAATCAACCAGCTGTTCAAAGGAATTGCGGAGAAATAAGTACGCGACATCGATTAAATTATGAAGCCTCTAGAGGGGAGACTACTTAATTATCTGCACATAAACTGTCTACTCCTTTTCCTCTACCACTTGATGAGGTAATTGCACCCGATGTTCTTCTCTGATAGAAAAAGAAAACAGTGGAAAGCTGTAGAAATTCGCAGAATTCTGCAACAACAAACGAGTCAACATTCTGATAAGACTAGAACAAATAACCCATTCGTGTCAAGCTCCTCTCAATTTTTCACAGCTATACTAAAATTCGTAAACCCCTCTGATCATATCACTGATGATAGCCCTTTTAACTGCCCCCAACTGTTCACCTCCCCTGGAAGACACGCGATTCCTCAAACTGCCGAAGTTACGATGTTTACCGAGAACACAATCCTAGTCTCCATCGATCTGCCAAATACCTCTGTTTAGCTCGGTAATATCAACAGGACGGGCTTCAACACGGCAAAGGCGACAAGCGGTTATCGGAAACCATTGAAGCCCACACCTCCACTCATAAAAAAAAAGTCAAATCGGATAGAACAGGTCCATTAAAACTGAGATAAAATACCAAATAAATTTCCCTAGTTTATTTTCAAATTCTTTCAGCTCGCGCGTTATCATTATGGAAAATCTGAATAACGGGCGGGGGTGGAGATAAAGCTCAATAATTTTATTTATTCATTTATTTGTCCGAGACCAATAGCCCTCAAGCCAATTATAGGATTCCATGTATAATACTTGCACTACATGGAATTTCATGCACGGAGAAAAATTCTACTGCGAAATGCAATAACTTTCGGCTGTGAAGCCATGAAAAGTTGGGACAGTAGGCAGTAAAAATTATGGTGGTGGCACACGAAGTTTTCCAGCTCCATCAAAATGAACCATTTTCTGAATTTTCCGGAAAAAGGTTTTGCAATAAATTAAGTCATTTATGATTTTTCTAGAAAAAAATATAAATGATTTAATTTATCACATTCTCACGAGTTATTGAGTTTTTATATCCTCATATGTTATTGACGAAAGCAACAATAATTGTTTGAATTGAATACGAAATTATTTGTTAATTAACTGAATGAATCAAATAAAAAATGATTTCACGAAATTCCCATTTTTTACAGTTGAATATCGCAGAAACTGTGCTCTATAAGGGTTTACAAAATATTCACTATATTCGGGATTTATCAATCTATCACGGATTCGTTTTTTGAGAACCTTGTAAGAACCGTTTTCTCATAAGATGAAAAATTGAGCTAGTTGGAATTTTTTTCAATAGTTGAGGAATATTATAAACTTTTTTTTATGCAAAACATGGAGACAATCGTAAGAAAAACTATCGTCTTCTCTACGGATATCCATTAAGTGGAAAAAGTCAACGAAATTTCCACAATTTACATGAATTTTTAAGTGAAAATGAATATTCATTACCAAATTCCCTTGAACTTTCAGGGGATCCCTTTAAAATTCTCGGAATTCCAGAATTTTCCATTTTTTTCCTTAATTTTCCCGGAACAATTAAACTGAAATTTCCACTTCCCGCAGATTTTTCCACGAAATTATGAATTTTCAATAACAAAATTCCTTGGAATTTCAGTGGAGATGTTACTTGTTAGAAACTTCCAAGACTTCCCAGAAATTTCAGTGCAAAACTTTCCGTCTAGTCTTCAAGATTGTCAAGCCTCTGCCTTCAAAATTCTCGTATCCAACCATTTACCCCGAAATTAATCTCTCCCTGCATCAGCACGTCAAATTCTCCATATACTAAATTACCCCGTCATGCACTATTTCAATCCCGATATGCACAGACTAGCCGCTGAATACAGACACAAGTGTAATACGCTCGTTATGCGGCCACAAGAGTGTTTGCAGGAACCCTACCACCGGCTAAATCCCCGTTATGTCAAAGGAGTTTAATTATAAGTGAACCCATCAGCGAGAGCGAAATTCACTAACAAATCACATGAACCTCTAATCCATTCAATAATTCAGGAGTATTTTACCAAAACTATTGCACTACATACCCCCCTCCACTCGATCTCAACCAGTCCTATGCACCCATTTCTTTCATATTCATTTCAGTAGATAATCCTTCAAATTGGCGCAGTTTCAATAGACATGCACTTGTGTGATTTCCATTCCATCTTTTATTCGAAGTTTTTTCTCGTTCGCTTAATGAAGCAAAAAATTTCTGTTACTGAATCCAATAAGCTGCTGTTATAAAGAACTATTTGGGCATAGTGCTACATGGAAAAAATCACTTGGTGAATTTCCACAACTAGTTGTTGAATGTCAGCAACTAATTGGTGAATTTCAATAAATAGTCGGTGAAATTTAATAACTGTTTGCTTAAAATTCAGAAAAAGATATTTCAATTTCATTCGACAACGATTTGTTTAATTTTCAATAAACGTTGGGCGATTTATTTGATCCATCAAATTTAACAAGGAATTGTAGATTATGTCGAAAATATCTTCTAGGGGAGACATTGATCGTTTGTCAAGATATAAATGATTACGGGATTGTTCCAAATGTATACATGCCCTCACCAGCTAGTTTGCTGGCAAAATTGATTGAATGAAATGAAAAAATATTTTCTGAATTTTAATTAATTAGTGATTGAATTTCACCAACTAGTTGTACCATTATAACAGTCAAAGGGAAGAGGATTTTAAACCAATTATAAGGGTCAAATGGAAATGGAGACAATTATAAAATTCAAACGGGAAGCAAATCCACAGGGAGATTAAATATTGAAAACGACTAATAGGAATGTAGGTTTCAAAAATGTGTATTTTACAATGAAAATAAAAATGTAAATTACGCCTAAATAAAGCGTTTTTACGTTTCACTAAGCGTAATTCACGCTTAAGAAATCGAAAATGACAATCTCAATAGAAACGTATTTTACGATTTACTTATGCGTAATTTATGAAAAAAACTCCGTATTTTACGCTTGGAATAACTTTTTTTCTCTTCGTCGTTAATTACGGGTAAGTAAATGTAAAAGACGAAAAAAATCATCTCAATTTACGAATACGAGACCGTAAATTACGTTTATGTAATCGTAATTCACGGCAATGTTGAGCGCAATGTATTTCAACTTCAAGCCTAAAAGACGGCGTCTTAACCAGAATTTACGTTTCGGTTTTTCCGTATGAAGAATGGCCCAAATCGATCATAATCCTCAAACAAACGTATTTTACGATTCACTTATACGTAATTTACGAAGAAAACTTCATATTTTACGCTTGGAATAACTTTTTTTCTCTTCGTCGTTAATTACGGGTAAGTAAATGTAAAAGACGAAAAAAATCATCTCAATTTACGAATACGAAACCGTAAATTGCGCTTATGTAATCGTAATTCACGGCAATGTTGAGCACAATGTATTTCAACTTCAAGCCTAAAAGACGGCGTCTTAACCATAATTTACGTTTCGGTTTTCCCGTATGAAGAATAGCCCAAATCGATCATAAGGCTCAAACAAACGTATTTTACGATTCACTTATACGTAATTGACGAAGAAAACTTCGTATTTTACGCTTGGAATAACTTTTTTTCTCTTCGTCGTTAATTACGGATAAGTAAATGTAAAAGACGAAAAAAATCATCTCAATTTACGAATACGAGACCGTAAATTACGTTTATGTAATCGTAATTCACGGCAATGTTGAGCGCAATGTATTTCAGCTTCAAGCGTGAAAGACGACGTCTTAACCATAATTTACGTTTCGGTTTTTCCGTATGAAGAATGGCCCAAATCGATCATGTCTCAAACAAAAAATCCCCCACCGCATGTTATCAATCACCTAGACTGCATCACCCCATATTCTCAGTTATTTGACTATTCAACTGCCGAACAGTGCACCTCCACTCTCATTCTAAAATTTAACCCACCACACAACACACATGCCCCCTCAACCCATTTGTTGCGTATTCCCTCCGATAAATAATTCCCCAAATTGGTGCAGTTCCAATTCCCCTTCCAAAAACCCATAATAATACATTTGAACCTCTCTCTCCCCCTCAGGGCGCATCAATACTCGGTGCAGCTGTGGGCGGTGCAACTCGTGGCTCATCGTACAACAAGGATCGTTGTTTTACTCTACTAGTGATAGATGATCAGAATACAGACTGGAGCAAGTACTTCCGTGGACGTAGAATTCATGGTGATTACGAGATACGTGTTGAACAGGCTGAGTTCCGGGAGTTGTCTCTCACGGCTTGTGAGGCAGGCGCCACAGTGTCCATGGCTGTCTTCCGCAATGGGACCAAGGTCATCAGGTAAGAAGAGAGGAGTCTCGTTAGGGAGTTGTCTTATCGTTGTTGATGTTTTTTTGTGGCAATCGTATAAGGAATTTATTCACCGGATATTCTCGTTCGGGGGAAATACAACGAGATGAGAGATGAGATTATAGGGTGGGCAGGAGGCGGGGGGGAGAGGGGGGCAATGGTAAATTATTCATGGTTGTGACGCTAGTCAGTGGAGGCCTTTGTCGGGACACAAAANGGGGGGGGGGGCGGAGGCTTTTACCTGCGGTATAATTAATAATCGTAAAACGGAATGATGAGGGCGGGACCTACTCAACTTCCAGGTTCCGCTTCATTTTTCCGTGCGGAGAAGAAAAATACGGGAAGTTTTCTCTGCAAATCCGCACGAAAAGGTTTTTACTGCTTTTTTCATGATGGGGTAAATAGGCAGAATGAGATTAGTCAGGTGCAGGTGAAGGCAAAGAGGTTTTGATGAGACATTTTTTACTTTGAAAATACTGATGTTGGAGAGAGGTGAAAATGGAAAAAATGACGTTAGTTTTTTTTATTAGTAGGGGAGGGTGGGGTAAAATGGACACTTTAGACTCTTTTTTCATTATTCATAAGTCAGAAACAAATTTATCAATTGAGCTCAGTTTAGGCTCGTCACAAAGGGAAATAATTATTCTTTTTTTTTAAATGAAATAATTGTTCTTTGTATTAAGAAAAAAATTATTAACTTTTATCAACATTTCAACCCCTCATTAACATTTTAAAAAAAGTCAAAAGTGTCCGTTTTACCCCAATATCCCCTATTCCTGTCAGATTCGATATTCCGGTTTTCATCCGATTGCTTATTATTATTCTCATTGCAAAAAGCAATATGATGTTAAATCTTCATATTACAATAAATGATAATTACAATTGAATTCCTTCTGAAACACACTTTAGAGTGTGAATTTCTGGAATTCAATGTTTGTTGATACTCTAATAAAAGGGCGTGTCCACACTGTGATTGATTTTTAGTTAGTTCACACGGCAATTCAATTAATATGTTGTTCATCTCATCAATATAATTTCGTGCTTCGAATATTGTCGTCTCGTGTTTTCAGCACCAAATTAAAAATTAAAACGTCATTTGAAATATTGAGTCACAGCTTTTTTTATTCACATCAGAAATTTTGTATTTGAATATTAATGTTATTTGTTCAAAGTGACTAAATCGGTCGTCATTTTCATTATAGTGCATTCAGATTCTCCTATCCTTCTTGATGAATCATCGTAATTCAGTTGGCCATTTGCTCGTGTCTTATAATCTGTTCAATGCACTTGCTTATTCTCTAGCCTCTTGTCTTAATTTTTTTGCTTCATCTCTTGCTTTGTTTTATTTTACTGCTTCTTATATAAGTATGTAATTTTCAATGTAATCACTTTGTTCAATTATCCGAACAATAAACATCTAATCTAATCTAATCTAATCCTTAACGTAAAAAATGTGAGATAATCTCATAATACTAGCTATTAATTCTGATCAACTTTGTTCGAAGAAAACCTTAGTAAACGCAATATTAAGAAAGTAGAATTATTCTATTTTCCTCCGTCCTAAATTATAATTCGCAATTATAGCTCGTTCGCATTTTCAATTCGTTTACTCATGTGTGCGGGCTTTATGAAAATTCGACGCAAGACGATTGTTCTCATGAAAACCGCCTTTCTCCATTAGTTCGAGATATCCGCCATATTCGAGCTCTCACTGTCGATTCGAGACGTTGCCCGCGCTTTTTTTAGAAAGGATTATCTGTTTGTCAGATCCTTCAAGCCCGATTTTGCCCTGGTGCGGCAAAACCTCCGGGACGCTGGGGAAGACAATAGAAACCTCCTCCTTGGACTCATGTACGGCAGCATTCCGAGTGTTAATAATCTCACGGCGATATACAATTTCCAGGTAAGCAACCGCAAATGATACTTCATTATCTTGATATGCTGATCATTAATTTGAACGCTGCAGGACAAACCATGGGTATTTGCCCACCTGCTGGGTCTACAGCGTCGTCTCGGCAAGGATAATTTCCCCCTCATAGATCAGACGTACTATCCGAATCATCGGGAGATGGTGAGTCATATTTTTCACTGATTTCCTTACTGAAAATACTATTCTCTCCCAAGAATTTTCGAACTTTACGGACGTTAAAGAAGAAGCGTCTAAATGTTTGTCTCAAATTCTCATCTAAATGGGAATAAATGGGAATATTTAGGAAAAATGTCCTCAAGAAATAGATTAAAACGACATCAAATAATTCGGAACAAAAAAATTACTGAAAATTCATTTTAATTATCTCCATTAAATTACAAATTTCGGTCGTACAAAGTAAGATGATTTAAATAATTTTAAATTACATGAGTAATAGGAACTCCGACGTAACGTGGGAACATAAATATCGTGACACAACATTAAGATAATATTGAAGAACTAAAGTGAAGCGTTTGTATTCCACACAAAGGGAAAAAATTCTTCTCCTTTCTCAATGTTTTCTCTTGAAAAACTCCCCTTTACCTTCTCCTCTGAGTAGGATGTGGATTCTGAGTTGAACGCCTATCGGAAATCGAAGGGAAAGTCGCGGAGAATAGTGCAGAGTTGGGAGAAAAAACGAGGAGGTTGATGTCGTTGGATAATAAAAGAAGTTGGTGGGCGTCTTTGGAAGGGTGGTTTCATCAGAGGATAGCGCACAGAATATCTGTCATCCTCAGGGGCGACCCATTTCACTGGAATCATTCACGCGTCGCGAAATTCCACACGGAATAGAATGATAATACCACACGTGATCCACTAATCAATGTATTCGCATGATAATTCTGTTTTCAAATTCACGATTAATCATTTTGTTGAGGAAAATCGATGAAATTTTCTGTTCTACTGAAATTTCAAGGAATTTCACTACACGGAGAGAAATATTCAATAAAAATTACGTATCTTTTCTGTAATTCCGGAGGGAAATGGGGTTGTAGGAAATTTTACGGAACTGCCACGGAATTTTTCCGGAGCGTTTCGTAATTTTTCACAGGAGATTCGGATAAAAATTACGATACCGTCACTTAAATTTTTTGAGTCGATTCCGTAATCGGTGAGTGAATTGTGAGTTCCGTAATTTTTACTGAACAGTTGTCTCCGTGTAGCGAAGCGGTAAAAGAATTTCAGTCGACTTAGCTCTTCGCTGCGTTCTCGGAGAATATCTCCGAATCTAAGGGAAATAGATGAATTATCGTGATAACCTTTTTGTAAATCTCAATTCATGTAATTCTTACTCTATAAAAAAAGGTTTTAATACAAATTTTGCTATCTGCCTTAGATCTCGAGATATTTGTTGAAAACCGACCAATAGTCAAAATTAATTTGACCGTTTTACCGCTTCGTTATCGATTTCGTAATTGAAAATAAAAAATTTATGAAAAAATCAATGAAAACCGTAAATTTCTGTTCCATCATTCCGCGAAAATGAATAGAAACCAGGAAAATTTGGGTGAATAAAATGAAACGTCTGCGTAATTTGGTAGGGGAGGGTGGGGCAAAACGGCCCCCCTTCAATTGTCAATAACTTGTGAATGACATTGTGAAAATTCCCAGTTTCAACTTCATTTTGAAGATAATTTTTCATTCTTCAAAACGAGCTCTAACTCATCCCAATCGGATTATTGAATCGGAAAATATTGACAATTGAAGGGGGACCGTTTTGCCCCATCCTCCCCTATGAAATATTCGCGTTTAGATTGGAAATTGGAATTGGAAAAGTGATTTCGGTACCTCTCGTCCTCCTGCTGGTCAAAAATTCGAAATTTCATTGAATTTTCACTGAAATCTGACATTTTGATTTTTATCCCCCGTTGATAGAATTTGACGTCTCTCTTCTGAAAATTCTCCGTCAAATATCCATGAAATTTCAATTTCATTTTTCCAACGGTGCAATTGTACAAAATTGAAACTTTGAAATTGAAATTTTTTTGGTGTGTTCGAATATATGTCTGTTACCAACCCCCTCTAAAGCATCAAATTCTGAGACAAAATGTGAAAACCCTTTTTAAAATCATAAATTTCCCCTCATCAATCAAAACATTGAATTTTCACTCCTTCACTAAAAAACCAAACACCTCACGATTATTAATAACTTAAAACCTACTCGTTACCGGGTAGAATAATTTAAATACTCAATATACATCGAAAATAATAATAACCAAAAAAAAAAATCTTAAATATTTACAGTGCGAAATAAGCTGAGCTTTATTTCGCAGAAATACTTGTATGCATCACGCCTTCATCTCCCCAGATAATAGAACCTTGCGCTCTGATTACACTAATTCCCCATTCGTTCATGATTTTAACATTCAGTGAATATCTCCGAAACTGATGAATTCAAGAAAATTCTCGGGACATCTTTTCGTCTGTGGAATTTAACCGAAAAAGCTCTGTGATATTATTCTCAGAGGCAAGTAGTTTCCAGAGCTATCCAAAGAAAATGGGAACTTCATCAATGATCTGTGCAATTAATCAACTCTCCCGACTCCCCGCAGTAAAAAAATCTCTTCATTAAATAAAATAACGATCTTAAGCAGAATTAAGACAATTCCATTCACGATCCGTCGGTACATTAAGGCTCTCTAGCGAGTTGCTGGTCCCTGTCGCGTTGATGTTTGTCAACACACTTTTTGTATGCATAGCAAAGTTCCCATGAGCAGCCAGCTTTTCCCACCTTGCATATGCCATATCTCTCTTGGCAGTCTGTTGGTCCTGGTGCACTCTCCCACAGACATTCTTTACCACCGGTAGAATTGAAGACGGCGCCTTTGTTCCGCCATTCAGTATACAAGATCTAAAGACGAGCAGGAACAAAGAGAAAGTTCTTGTTTCGAGTGATTTTCATTAAGAAAATGGAAGATTAAAGGGGTAGTGGTATTGTTGAATTGAAGGTGATGATGGGAGTGATTGACTGAAAGTCGGAAAAAGTGGAATTTGGTAGGGAAGTGGTAAAACTTTGTCACTGGAGGCGTGCGAATATTCGTGAAGGATTTTATACGAATTATGACTTCATAAGAACAAAAATTCATAAATGATGTGAAGAATGGGTTTATTTTATGCTGTTCAAACGCATTGTTGGAAATCTTTTGACAATTGAGCAATAGCTGCGTTTGAATTCTCAATTTTGTGGACTTGAATTCAATTTAAGAACAAATTGTATTCAGCTTGGAAATTCAAGTAGACTCCGCGAATCGATTCAAATCGAATGAAAGAGTAGTCTTTTTCAGTGCAATGAGAGAAAAAATTAATTCTGCCGAAAAACGGTATCTGAATCTTGCCACTTGAATCATGCGTTTTTCGACTTGCATAAAGTCATTAATTTTTTGTAACGACTTGAGACATTTCTCCTTCAAATAACTCAATTTTCCGAGCAATTGAATTTGAAACAACTTCCATTTAACTATTCGATAAAAACATAGAAACCTTTTCCGCGTAAAAAAATTCTCCACATGTTTCCTAAAATTACTTCTGAACCCGACTCATTATCGACATAGTCCACCATCTAATTTGATGGCCAATCGATCCGCAACGTTTTACCGCTTCACTAGTGAATCAGAGTTTTGGGAATCGATTAAAATTTCCGATTAGATGGGGAAATTTGATGAGGGTAAATTATGGAAACTTTGTTGTGCCGATGTACTCACGTGGCAAACGCAGCCATGATTGTAGAACTGCCGGAAGCCTTTCCGTTGTCTGCCGGTAACTTCCGCCCAGCGCATTGCCAGGTTGCACAGTGAGATATGGGGCTTTCCACCACTCATCCTACCACCAACAACCCAAGTTTCCCCTGGCTCCATATTCACACGTCCACACAGACTGTCCACAGACGGTGTCCACAGCATTAGATGTTGCTTTAAAGCGTGTTCTGCTTTCGGAGTAGCCTGTGACATTGATGCATAAAAGATTTTTAGAGCTGTTGGGGTGAGGTGACCCTGCTTTCAAACGATTTTCGGATTAAAGGAATATGAGAGTGGTGGAATGAATTTTTTGTTGTCCTCCGAGGGCGACAGGTGGGAATTAAATTTTAAGGGAAAATCTGGGATTCAGAGTCGTATTTTACATTCCATTTTGGAGAAAGTGTCAGGGGAAAATGTGAAGCGAATTAACACGTACAGTTATTGTAGGATGAGAAGGGGAGAAAAATCATGAATATCACTCTCAAGTACTTTTGATCAGCACCAAGTATTCAATCCAAGTATGGAAAGTACTTTTACACGAAAATACTTTTAGTCTCCCTCCGCGAACTCTTCGTCCTGCGTCATGACTGCTTTTTCTAGCATAATCCGGGATATAAAAGCAAAAATGATTTTTCCTTTTTATGCAATAAAGCCAACTATTAGGATGGAGAATTGCATATTCGCAAAATTAAATGAGATATCGTGACTCCAAAACATGACTCCTAAAATTTCTTGAATGCATATTTTAATTTCAATACTATTTTTCGTTATGTATATGTTATGTATTTTTTTAATGTCTACTATCAATCGCCATTAATTAATATTTAATTCATCGATTGATTTTTTCAATTTTCGGGTTTTTTCGAAACCAACCCACGATAACTAAAAAAAATGTTCTGAACTGGTTGAATGATGGCTTAAAAAGTTTGCTGGGATGTCCTTTTGACCGAGTTCGAAGATAAAGGCGCTAACAACAATTCAGTAGCGAAGCGGTAAACCGGGTTAAGTCGATTTTTACATTTTGCTAGTTTTTGATGAATATCTCGGAATCTAAGAGAGATAGCAAAATTTTTTTTCCCCTCCATGATGGACCGACTCCAATTAAAAATTTTTTTTCCCGAGTCACGAACATTAGAAAACAAGTCCAAAGCATCCATTCTACCCCGGCCTCCCCACACACTCTTTCTTCGATTATAAAATCACTCATCAGCAAAACGCGTGCAAAAATAATGGGAAAAGTAACAAGCTTTTTCCCCATCCGGGGCATAGAAAATCTTCACTGTTTTATCATTTCCGAAGAAGAATTGAGTCAATCACCTAAACAATACGCAGCCCACGTCCTCATTGTGGGAACCCCCCGATTCTCTCCACCTAATACAATTCACGTTTGTAGTCCTTCCATAACGATTTGAAACCAATCTCGTTTGCTCTCACGGGAGTCGCTCGAGTACTCTCGTATCGTCGATAAATTCCAATGGTCCCATCGGTGGTACACGTATCAAAATCAAATGGGAACACACGACCATGGGTACGTACACTCTGGCAACTTTCACAAGACGGTATTCAAGCACAAAAAGAGAAGGTGGCAATGTACATATAACGCATCTGATAACCGATGAACGGAAGTTGCTGGACAGGGCCCCGAATATGTATTGAGGACATGATGCCATGTTTGAAGAGGTTCACCAGAGTCTGATTGCAATCAATGGAGAGACCTCATCCTATACTACTTTGAATGGAGTTGTATTCGAGAGTATTTCTCTGATGTTTGTATCAAGATGTTGCATTTGGAGAGATATTTGCGGGAAGAAAGTTTAGGCTCATGTTTTTCTTCTATTGTTGGATAGGGAGAACAAATGGGGAAAAAGTTGTTCAGACTATTTTGTATTTTGTGGTGTGAAGAAGTGGATTTAGGGGGGTGTGACAAATGGTTTTTTGCATTAAGAAGGTTTTGCCCCCGAATTGAAGTTATTCTATGAGGGGAAAAAGTTTTTGGTGTCCAGTAACAGCTTCTGAATTCCGACGAAATTTCTGAGAAAATGAATGAATGAATGATGAAGCTAACAATAAATTTAAATGAAATAATAATTAACTGTGGAGCTAATAATTACGCTCACTCAGGAAAATTGACGAGTAATATGAGATGATTGTTTATTTAGTATTAGGGGAGGGTGGGGCAAAACGGCCCCCCTTCAATTGTCAATAACTTGTGAATGACATTGTGAAAATTCCCAGTTTCAACTTCATTTTGAAGATAATTTTTCATTCTTCAAAACGAGCTCTAACTCATCCCAATCGGATTATTGAATCGGAAAATATTGACGATTGAAGGGGGACCGTTTTGCCCCATCCTCCCCTAATTTGGAGAGAATTGAAAGATTCATTCTCGCTTTCGTGATTAATAGCTTACAATTAGTTTTGTTATTATTCTTTAGTTGTTTTAAAGTAGCTCTACCCTTCGACCGGGCTACGCTGTACTTTTGGATATTTTCAGTTTTAAAATTTTTCAACTAAATTGCAGGGAAAAAATTTGAAAAAATTCGTACCCTGTCAGTATTATCTAAATTAAATTTCGCAAAATATTGGCATTTTTTCAAACATTTCCCCCTTATAAATAAATAATAAAACTTGTTTACAAAACGGTGGATTATTTTTACGAGGTGTCAAAAAAATTCTTGATTTTTTCACATCTAATGAACAAAAATTTAGATTTTAATCTTTGATTACAATGGAAATATTGATTTTCACATAAGACACTGGGTCAAATCCTGATTTTTAAACATTTCTTCTTTGAAAAACCAAAACCATAATTAAATTGAGAAAAAATTAGAATTCCGAATCTAATCGAGTTGTCTGCAATTTTTTTGCAGTTTTTAATAATCTTGGAATTTACCGTAGGGGTAGAGCTACTTTAAATAGTCATTTTAAGTTTGGAGTTCCAGTGAAAACTAGCGCGATAAATTGATTCAGTCACAATAATAATTTGGAATGCAACGACGCGGAATAAATGTTTGATATAAATTTGAGTTGAATTGAGGTTGACTCACTTGAATATTTACCGAGACCGAGCAATTGATTTAAATTTTAGATGGATTGAATGTTATGATGCGTCCACACTGATGGTCAACGTGAAGTGTCCTTTTCCCATGATATTTGTTGAAAATTAACAATTTGGAATATTTCGTGAATACTTCCAACATAATTAATTCACTATTCTGTCCATATGTGTTTACTTATTTATTTTTTACTTTTTCCTTTTTGTATATATTTCTTTTTCTGTAAACAGTCGCTAATTAACTCACTGTAGAGGCGACTGAATAGATTATTAAATAAAAAAAATATTACATGTCTTAAAGGGGTCGATGTCGTGAGACGCATTTTTTGGTCTTAATTCTCACAGTATTTACTCTGCTATTTATCCCATGGCTAGGCTCATCTCAAGATAAATTTTCAATTGAAGGGAGAGTGTATTTACCTTGAAAATCCTCTGAAGCTTGATCTTATAAGCAGCCTCATGATCATTGAACTCCACGAATTTGTTGATCCTGACAACAGCAACTGCAATAGACCGGAGAAATAGAATTTAATAATTGATTCCAGTGATATCCTTCATCTCTTGAAAATTACACATTACAAAGTCCCCCAACGTATTTCTTTCAGCTCCGAGGAAATAGAGGAGTTTACCGAGAAAAGAAATATCCTTCCGGAGATAGTAATCTCCGGTTCCAAGTGAAGCTCTTGAGAGCACTATAGAACTAAAAAAAAAATCTTCCATCTAGTTTTTCCAATGATTTTGTTTCTTTACTTTCCTCAACGCTCGAGTTTTTCCAACTGGAAATGTATTTATTTTCGGTTGTTACATAAATGCTCGGACTTGTTGAGGGGTAATAAATTCACCGATGGAGTTGGAAAGCAATTTCCGGTCAGCGATTCCGGTACGATAATTAGTCGAATCGCACTGGATTTCTTCGTGGGTAGTCGGAATTGATTGTAGTGCATTAATTTGGAGGTATCTCTGAAATTAGTTTCTTCGCAATTTTTATTTAGCTTTAATGGAAATTCTCTCGTCATTCTTTGCGTTCAAATTCTTTTCAACATTTGTAATAAAACTTCAGAACTCGTTTAGTTCTCATTTCATCCTGAGTTACTAGACATTTTACAGTCATGTTGTTAATTAAACCGCGACGTTTTCCACTCCATTATCTACTTTAAACTATTGAGAGGTATCTAAACTATCTGAAGAAATTGGACAGACTATTGAGATTATTTTTATTTTTATTTATAAAACAATAAAAAATAAACAATCAATTACCCATCAATTGTGCTAGAGTTTCAATTCAAATTTCTAATCCAAATTCAAATTAATGAAGCGTTTGAGAGCGTAAAAATTTTTTCTCTATTCATTTATTCTAAGGAAATGTTCATTCAGTGAATGTGATTTGAGAAGAGCTCATTAATCATGAATTTTTTTCACAATTTTTACAGGTAAATTAATTAAAAAGTGGTAATTATTGTGCAATTATCTCGAAAATGAACGGATTTGCGAGAAAATGTCTCGAAAGTGTTCCGTAAATCTTGAAATTTTCTGTAAAAAATATCTCAAATCACTTGTCCTCCAAATCCATCCTCAGAATAATCGAACGAACCATCTGCCTTGGCCAATGAAATTCGATACCAATTTCCGGCCAGCGATTCGTTACGATAATGACCCGATGCTTCTCGAATATCCCACTTTTCCGTTGATTCAATTATCGTATTTTCCGTATATCACGACCAGTGGCATCGTGAATCCAACAATAGACTCGAAATTACCATATTAGTTAGGTTTATCACTACGAGGAGTCATGGTCGTGCCAAGGAAACTCATTCATGACCTCCGGAGAGTTAGCAAACACTCGTGAACCTCTGGGCACATAATTCAAGGACGGCGCACAGCGAAAAAGGACTCTTGTGTCTTTTAATTTTTCACTTGTCCTCGAGAGGGATGGGAACGGAAGGCTCTTGCCTCTTTAACACAATTGGGTTGTTACAGGCATTTTTTTATCGAGGAAAATAATGATGAAACATGAAAAACGGATAAAAGATATGAGATAATGTTTTGTTTTATTTAGAAAGTTTCAGACACTTGAAAAAAATAAATCTACATTACGATGTCATATTGAAGACATTTTACAGCGTCTACACTTTATTTATTATTGATTATTTATCGGAATGAAAAAGCACGTCTCGAATTTTCTAATGCAATTTTCGTGCTTAGAAATAATTAAGGAGAGAAAATCATTGTGGAAATTTATTTCTGAAGTCTAAAAATTGTGAAGTGTATTGGCCTTGCAGCCATTTTTACAAACATTCTGGTGATAAAGTATTCCCAGGGGAGTGAAGCAATTTTCAAGTAAATAAAATTCTTTAATTCGAATTTTCTATTAAATGCAATTTAAAAAAAGCAAATTCTATTCATTTTAACAGTATTTGCATTGGAAATGGATAAAATCATGAATTTATTCCAAAGAGACTGTTTGAATTACATGAAATTAATAATCCGTTCATTCCAAATGAATGATTATTACGTGTTCATACATTCAATTCATCCGTTATTTGAGCAATTATTTTATTTTTACCTAGAAAACTTCATCTGGATTGACGAAACATTTATGGAAAAAGGAATATTTATTTGATGTGAATAGAAATGCAAATATAAATCAAATCCATTTAATTCAAATGAATAATTCCTCAGGGTTTAATTAGTCTAATAAAAATTATGATATTTCGGGTAAAAATTCTACAAAAATATTGCATTTTGTGTTATAATTCTGGAAAAAAATGCTGAAAGGTGATTTTAGGGGTAAATTTTCATAGACATTTTTCTCTTATATGAAAACCATTTTGAAATGGCCAAACGGAATGATTTTCATAATTACCCCAGTCTGATTGACAAAATTGGGTCTGTGGGTGGGACATTGTGCAGGAGCAGGCCTCAGCATCCTCGATCCTGTACGCTGATAAGAGGAGAATTATCAGGGGACTCCAAAAAGTTAACCGCCGCATCTGAAACCAAAACAATTCCGGAAATTACGAGAGATTTTCGACGAAAATGTAGAGTGTTGAAAATTCCGAGCGTTCTCAAAAAATTTAAAGCAATGCGGCATTACGGCTCTTCAAAAATACAGCGGCTTGCAGATTTTTATAGAAAATTTTCTGCTTCAACAGCAGTCTCTTGATATTTTACAAAACTAATAATACTTAATTAAATATTCACGGGTGATCTCAATTGTGTCATCACTCCACTGCTCGAGTAAATAGATACAGCGAGGATATAAAGCACATAAATGTCATTGAATATGTAAATTGGGAAACATGCAGCAGCATGAGTAAATATCAATTACCCCCGTTGATTTAGCAAGAGCAAATGTATTGATTCTTCCTTCTAAATGAATATTTATATGCGCTCATCTCCGGAACAAGGGATTTCAGTGGAAAATTGCCGACGAGCTTTGAAATTTTCTGCCGAAGCCACAGTCACAACAAATCAGAAATTATTTGAACAATTACAGACTGAAATTCGCTATTAGCAATGACTTTCAATCGGCAAGTTGAAAAAAACATCGCCAAGAACAAGTCCGTGAGTTGACAAAACAAAATAGATGAATAGGACTCCCCCTCGAATTGATAATCCGTCGTAAATCGACTCTCCCTCTCCATTCGGTAAAAAGACACATCGATTTTTCGCCCCAAATTTCATATGAACAGCTCCACAGTTTAAAGACCCAACGAATTCATCGCTCTCACGTTAGATATCCATGTTAATCCGTCCGAGTTTATTGACGCCAGCTGTTACATTCTCGCATCATCCTAAACATAGACCCATGAGAGTATAAACGAATTGAAAACCTCATGCTCCACTTACAACGGAACCCAGGGGATCGAATGCGCTGTCCCATTGATGCGTAACCACTGTTTTTGTTTTCTCAGTCGTGATAAATTACGCTTAAACAATGGAAAAATCGCGATTGGTCTTTTTGAAAGGTTTTTATTTGTTATGGATAATTAATTTAATAATGGCATTTTTAGCAGACATTGTTTTTTGTAGAAACAATATTACGAAAAGGTACACTGTTAAAAATTTTTGTTTGAATTTTCCGTGTCAAATCCCAGAAATTTTTATCGTGTTTAATTTTCACTGGAATTTATGGAAATCTTGTTATTGAAAAATCAAATATTCCATTGATTTTCTTTTTGAATTATCTGAAATCAATAAAATACTTGATTTTTCAGTCTAAGTATTATGTGAAAATTCAGGGAAAAATTACAAAATCATGTCATTTTGTTTCTGAATATTCATGTTCCCTTGAAAATTCAATCAAGTTATGATATTTTCAGCTCACTGCCACTGAAAACTAATGAATTTCCTTGAATTCTACCTAAAATTTGAAATTTCATAGCCATTTTCCCCCTGAATCAGATTCAATGTCCCTCTTACGAGAATTATTATCATATTTTCCATGAAATTTCGAAAAATTTCTAACGGTATATCAGTAGCGCAGCGATAAAACAGTTTAACGACATCTTTGGCTATTTTTTCTCCAGTGAAATACTTTTCTACTTTTGCAGTCGAACAAATTCTTGTCTGAAACAAATTCGATTGGCAGAATTATTTGTTACGCAATAATAATTGAAACAAAATTTCCATTAATATCACAATTGAATTGAAATACACGGAGAGAAATGTTCAGTAACAATTACGGAACTCACAGTTCCCTCACCGATTACGGAATCGACTCTGAAAATTTAAGTGACGGTATCATAATTTTCACAGGAAATTCCGGTAAAAATTACGGAACGCTCTGGAAAAATTCCGTGATTTTAGGTAAAAATTACGTGACAGTTTCGTAAAATTTCCTACAACCACATTGCATTCCGAAATTACGGGAGAGATGCGTAATTTTTATTGAATATTTCTCTCCATGTATCGATTAAAATTAAAATGATTGAAAGGACTTGGAAGAAAAATTTCATCAACACAATAGTTATGCCATTAAAGTAATTTATTGAAATCATTTTTATTGCAAACATCAAATGACTACATATAACATTAACATTCGTATTAATTCATGAATTAATAATCCGAAATTCATCACATGTATCGTACAACATTACACTGCACCGTTGAGAGTTTCATCAAATCTCCGATAGTAAAAAAAAAATCCGATCTCTAAGGACGAAAGACTGCGTAAATTTCCGTAAGCGTTATTAAGGATCGGCGCTTACCCACCGGTTAGCAGTATAAATAACGATAGTTCGGCCATAAATCCCGAGTGATATATCCAGGGAATCCGTTTGCACGCATGGGGTCGCTGTGAAGCACGAGGTGGAGATACTTCAGAAGAGGAGGAAGATTGAACCGATCGTTAAAGACGATTGGGTTCAGCATCCGTCTATAAATCGCGAGACTCAAAATGCTGTTTCGTTGCCTTATATACACCTGTGTTGTTATCTGTGCGTAAATAATAATACAAGATGAGGATCCGGAGTGTGATTATGGCGGTTGTAACCGATAATCATCATTTATTATATATATTCATACGGTTTTATCACCTGCTAGTATCGCAGCCTTGAATTATAAGCGGTAAAAACAAGTACGTGACGAGTGAAAATTATTCTGATGATTATGTTGGCTTTTTCGTTTTCTTTTTCTTTCCGGGGAGAATTATGGACTTCGTCGACTTGATTGGATTCTTTTTCATGATGTGTTTCATGGAGAAAAAATAATTGGTCAATGAATTTCCTGATTATTAGCTGAGGAAGTAGAGGAATCGGTGTCGTGACATTTTTCTGTTAGACTCAATTATAATATTGGAAATATTTGTGGAATGATTGGCCTGGAATTACTTCTGGTCAGTGAATACCGTGAACGTGACTGTTAGAGATCATTCGAATAATCATTTCACAATTTCAGATATGGGTACAAGCTTATAATTAAGTTTACTCAATTGGTGTTTGATGGAACACGAAAGTTATTTGGTGAATTCCAACTACTAGCTGTTGAAATTTGACTATTAATTTTGGATTGTTGCGAAACCATTCTCGAGGCGAGATTTTAATCGATTATCAAGATACAGATGATTGCGGGATTGGTAGGCAAACTTGATTGAATACGAACGTTTATTGAAGATTTAACGGATGGTTTTCGAATGGAATTGAAAAGGCTTTTCTGAATTTTAATTGATTAGTTTTTAAATTTCATCAACCAGTCGTTGAAATTCACCTAATAATTTTCTCCGTGAAGATCTGTATGATTTACAATTGAATTAGCTTCCTACATTTATTTTGATCATTCACGATTCGTCGGTTTGGTGTAAAGTACAATGTGAGATTTTTGTTGAATCGAAGAGAAGTATTTGTTCTTGTCAGGTTGAATTCCCAGTTTAAACTAACGTGACAAGTTGATTTGTAATAACAAATGAGAATTGGTTAATTAATTTTCTGATTATTATCTGAGGGAAATGGAGGCATGGGTGTCGAGACATAATTTTTCTAGAATCAATAATTTCAGAAATATTTGTTGAATCCCCTCCCTGAATTTTTAATGTTCTGTTTCTATTAATTTTGATGGGATAATTCAACTGAAATTCACAGATTCGATTGATTTTTCCGTAAAATTATTACGGAATTCTTTTTATTTTCTCAATGACGAATTTCCTCCGAATGTCATTGGAATTACAATCTAATAAAAATTCCAAAAAGCGAGTAAAAAAATCCAAAATTTGCCAAGAATGTTTCACAGTATAATACAAATTTTCAACAAATTCTCCAGAATAATTGAACCAATATTTAATTTTGCGAGAAAACAGAATGTTTCAAATCCATAACGTCGAACTTTCTGACATTTTCCAGATTAAACCGGAGAATTTATCAACTTTTATTGTGCTGGGAGAGAACAGTGAGAAATATTAAAATTGAGCATAGTTTTATAAAAAGTCTTTTATGCCCGAGATTGAATTTTTTTCTGCATTCGTTTTTTCCAAGCCCAACTAATCAGATTTTACATGCAAACCGTAAAAAACTCGGGCACTGCGTTGAATGATGAATGTTGAATTGTGAGCGTCCACAGACTGGGAGATTTGAGAATGCTTCCCTCATTCAGTCACGATTTTTCACTTGGTCGCTAACGTTTTTCCCTCTCCACTTCTGGCGCTTTTCATTCTCACCCAGCGGAGAAATAACTACGCTGAAAAGTTTTTCCACGTCATGAAAAAATCTATACCCTCGAATATGCGTCCGGTGTATAGGCTATTTTGTTTCCACAGTTCCGCGGCGGGGTGGGGGGGCCTGGACTCGCGCCGAATGGAAATGGTAAACAGTTTCATACTTTTCTTTTTCACCCATCAGGGAGTGAATAGACTCCTGGGAAATTTTTCCGCTATTCTGGGGAAATGGATTTCAAAACATTGAAACTTGTGGTGAAATAGGAGAAGGGGCATGGTTTCCTTGTGTACCTTTTTGTGAATATCTCGGAAACTAGTGGATTTATCGGAAAATGTCACACGATATTTTATGTAGTTGGACAGATTCTATACAGCAATCTTTTGTCCCCTTTTAATAGTTTTGTGTTAACAAATTTCAGTCATTTTTAGTGTTTTCGATGAAGACGTTATGGATATCCAAGCACTTTAGCTATTTTTTCTCCAGTGAAATGGTTTTCTACTTTTGTAATCGAACAACAGAGCTTTCATTTGAGCCCCAACTGATTCCCAGTATCCGGACATTTTATAATGATTTTAATATTTAAACTTTGGCCGTATGAATTTGAATCTCGATGTTGAACCGTTAGAAAACATTTTAAAGATCTGAATAAGAATGAGAAAGTTTACTTTTGGAGGAAAATTGATGAAATAATAAAAAAATTGCCATTTTTGATAATTAAGAGCTTTTCTATAAATAATTCATACGGAATCAATTTTCCCCTATAAAAATCATTTGTTTGAAACCGCAACAAATTTATTCGTACACGGTTAAATTTTTTTTTAAATTTCATGGAAGATATGATA